TTTTTGCCCCCTTTCTCCTTTTTTTTTGCCCCTTTTGCCCCCTTTCTTCCTTTTCTAAGCCCATCAGGCTACCAGAGCCTGTGGGGCGTCCCATCCTTGCCCCCCGGTACCTGTCTCATGGCTGTGTCGGCCAGGGCCCGTTTGCCGCCACGGGGGCAGTTCTGGATGTAGCAGGCGGAGGCCAGGGCCAGGAGGCAGAGGAAGGAGAGGGGCAGCGAAGGCTCTGCCACCCTGCGGGGCGGGACCCGGGACCGGAGCGGCGCGGGGAGCCGCTGTTGGCATCTGCCGCCAGGGCTGCTCCCGCTGCTATTTATGCCGCTGGCGCCCCTTTCCCGGGGGAGGAGGAGGAGGAGGGAGATGGGTTTTCTTTTTTTCTTTTTTCTTTTTTTTTTTAAATAATCTTCCTTCCCAAATTGCTTCTGTAATTGCAGTGATTCAGTGCGGACGCGCAAGTCGCTCGGGGCTGGCGAGTCCCCCGAGCTGCAGGGCACTGGCCTGGCAGAGATGGTGGTGACGCTGGGGGGGATGGATGGGGACAGCGTCTGAATTCCGGGGGCTTGGGGATGCTGCTTTGCGGGGTGCTGCTTTGCAGGGTGCTGCTTGCCACGATGCTGTTTGTTCGTTTGGCAAGGATGCTGCTTTTTGGGGAGAGATGGCAGTTAGTTTGGAAGGGATTTGGGGATGCCGAGGCAGGGCAGCGTGCTGAGCATGAGCCCGATCTGAGGGACTTGGAATTGGGTGCAGGAATTTGGGCCAAACAACCCATTTTTTGCAACTGTTTGATCCCATGCCAGTGACCCCCGGCCCCACACAGGTATTGGGACCGTGGGGTGGCCCATGGCGGGCAAAGAGAGGCCCAAGGGTTGGCTGTGGTGTTGCAGCTCCCAAGGGAAAGCATAAGGATGGAGCAGAGACACAGCAGCAGGAGGGGAAAATTAAACAAAAACAAGCACTTTGGGGGGTCTGGTGTTGACCCGTTGTCTGGATGAACTGAGCTGAGACCTGGCATGTTCATAGCACAGCTGGGCAGCCCAAGCCATTACAGGTGGTGGTGGTTTTGGGGGATGGTGGTGGGGGGTTCCCCTATGGCATTGCAAGGGTGACTTAGGCATAAGCGATGCCAAAACGAGGTAGGAAACAGAGGAGCAGGCAGAGGAGGAGGAGGGTGCAAAGCCCCCTGCTTTGCTAAACGACCTCGTTGCATGTGTGGCCGCGGAGGAAGGAGGGGGCGGGCGGCGCCCATGAATATTCCTTGCCAAATATTCCCAGCCGGCCTTTCCCGGCGGGAAGCGCCCCGGCGCGCGCGGCTCCTGCGGGCCGGGGCGCCGGGCGCACGGGAGGCGCGGGGCCGCAATACAGGGGGGGGG